AAGGTTTTATTCGAATATTCAACAATACAGCTGGAGGCTTATGCAAGTGAATTTACAAGGTAAAAATAATTCCATAGACATATACATATAATTATATGCTTTAACACTTTTAAATGAATCCAGATATAAACAATACATAGTACATAAATCATAAATAATGAAAACAATAATAATATTGAGTTCGGTTTGCATACTTGGATATGAAATAAATAGAAAATCAAAGGATATAAGATCAGATTTACAGTTTGAGAGTCGGTGCAGGACATCTTGATAATGTATTAAGAGAAAAATTATTATTGATCATTAAAAAATTGAAACTAAATGATTAAACTGTAACATTTACATGAAGTATATATAAAAAATAAATCGATAAAATACAATTATTAAATATTGTTAAGTATCATCTCTATGAATACGTGATGTATAACCTGACTTGAAAATATAAAATTACATTTATTGAAATAACATTTCAGTTGGAGGGCTGCGAAAGATAGAAATAGTTCCACTACACCTAGTTCAAGACAACCATTTGTCCTTATGAGAGAGAGTGTGTGTGTGTGTGTGTGTGTGTGTGTGAAGGAGTACTAATTTTCCATCGAAATAAAGAAATAGGGGCAGTGTAAATTTCAAGTCATACAGTGTAAATTAGATTTTGTATCGCTCATGACGGTTATCTTGAGTGTTCTGAATTGCTCAAACTATCTAGCGTCCGGGGGCGTCCGGGGGTCTCCGCACCACAGGGGGCCTTTTGGTGGGACCCATCCAGTAACACGTTAGCTTCGCCCCCCCCCCCCCCCCCCATTGGATAATGCTTGATCCGCCGCTGGTAGCTATGCAATTTCATAAAGCAAAATAACCCATACAATGTCCAAACATTAATAGAAATATAAGCCCTCACTTGTAGCAAATTTTCTCGAAATTACACTACATAACTTTTGTTGTCATCTTTGTCTACCAGGGCTTCAATTTGTCGTTCCTTAACTTGACTTTATAATTGTTCACTGGACACGATACGTTGTAAGAAATTATATTAATATTTGGTCAAAAACTCGTTAATTGGTTTCGAAACACTACTCTACTCAGCCATGTAAACAAAGTAGCCACTTTTCTGCCAGGCCAATATATCTCTTCCTTAAATCTTCGCTCAATTTAGATTAACCCTTCTTCATCTTTAACCTTCGGCAGACACAATATGATAAGATTTCACGGGGGAAAGAAAAAATGAAAACGTGCTCCCAAGCATAAATTCCTAGCAAGCACACTCAGCACAAGATTTTGTGGCAGGGGTAAAGGCCAGAGGGATTGCGGAGTTAAAATCGATGTTCCGTGCCCCCAGGGAGAGCGTGATGCGAGGAGAAGAACGTCTAGGTGACGCCGTGAGCAGATTTCAGGCATTCTTCTTCTTCTTCTTAAAAAATATTGAAGAAAAAAAAAGCAAAGTGGTAGGAAATGCATGGAAGTTGATTTGTCAGAAGTGAGTTTGATTTTATTTGCCTGGGAACAGAGTAGCCATTAATTTTGTCGAAGGTGATCAGTTGTCTTTGATGTCTAGGTGATTCAGAATTCACCCCGTAAAAGTCCGGGTGATTGTGGGAATTCGGGATATCGCTTCTTTGAAATTTTAAGTAAATGAATAAAACTAGAATTTTTTTCTTCCATTGCATTCATAACTGATATAAAATTATATCAAGATCAGTAGCGATGCTAGAGGGGGGGCTTCGTGGCTCAACCTCCCCTTCAAAACAAATTTTTCTAGGCTCCCATTGTTTGTCTTAATGAAAAATGAATTTATGCAACACATATACATAAAATGAAAGCAAGAATCTGAAGCCCTCAAATTCCCCTAAGAATCCTAAGCTTCCCCCCCCCCCCCCCCCCCCATAATTTACAAAAGTATCAAAATGCAACCACGTGTAGACGACATAATTCAGATTGTGCAGCATAAGAAATGAACCGAAGTAAAAAACAAAAAAAAAAAAAAACAGAGAAATTGACTTACAAACGAAAAGCTTCACGAAGTAGTGTCGTCTAAACAAAATAGTCCTAATGAAGTTGAGAAATGATGCAGAGGAGAAACACAAATAAAAGCTATCTATCAATCACCCTGTATAAGTCAAATCACGCATTCCGTCTATCATCATGAACAAAGCAATCTCATCGCCTCTTGAAGGACCTTCAATTCCAAAATTGTGAACGTCCACTTAAAAAAGTTTAAAAACAGTAGTAAATCTCGCAAAATCATTGATTGTGCCTTAAGACCTTGTTTTAAGATGGAACTGGGTGTGTTTATTCACCCCTACTCACACATGGGAGGGGTCTAATGGCATTTAAATTGCAAAAGCTTTTTCTCTCAAGTGTTCAACTGGAACAAGAATTTTCTTCAACCGCCCCGAACTCGGTCAAAGATGTAAGAGCAAAATAGCGCAGATAAACGGCCTTCTGAAATCATTATTCCATTAAAAGCAGACCACGGCCTAGCTTTAGATTTAGAGCAGTCTCGTCTCGTGTTACACACGGACGTGAGGACGTTTCCTAAAATGAAAATAACCGCCGGAAACTCATTCGAGTATCGGGATGTTAAGAAAACATAGATTAGTGACGTCACAATAGCTCCAGGGTCAAAGTAAGCGTCAAAATGAATGACATGTCTCGCCCACTATTAAAGAATATAAAAAAAATCCTTCAGTAGTTAAAGGCGAAGTATATGATTTATTAACAAAGTGAAACATACAAAAATACAGCCTAACAAATAATTAAAGAAAAAATAATATCGAAATTGAATACTATGATACTAATATCGAACTATATAATATATCAGTTCGAATAAATATTCTACAAATCACTTTATTTTGAAAATAAGAACATTTAAACAAAAAATGAAAAAAAATAACAGGATCTCTGGCTCCGAGATTTCACAAAACGCTGTTGTTTGCAAGTTTCAATTTATTTTTTACTATTGTTTTCTATATTCTAATGCAAATTACAAACACAACCTTCAATGGGTAATTTTGAAGGAAAAAAAAGTCATTTTGAATATTGTCGTTGGAGAATTCAGGATTGTAGTGCTGCCTACATTGGTAAATTATTGGTTTGACAGAACACATGAAGAAATAAGAGAGAGAGAGAGAGAGAGAGAGAGAGAGAGACAGAGAGAGGGGGTGAGTGACACGTAATGGAGAGAGAGAGAGAGACAGAGAGAGGGGTGAGTGACACATAATAGAGAGAGAGAGAGAGACAGAGAGACAGAGAAAGACATAGAAAGACAGAGAAACAGAGAGAGAGACAGAGAGAGAGAGAAACAGACAGAGAGACAGAGAGAGAGCGAGAGAAAAGGGAAATGAGTGAGTTAGAGAGAGAGAGAGAGAGAGAGAGAGATAGAGTCTCACTATGGATCGAACAACAAGGTTGAGGGCCTCACCGTAAAGTAAAAATCAAGGCCTCTGCAATCTCAGTGTTATTTTACGCGGGGAAGCCGACAGCTACCTTTCCTCATCCACTTCTAACGTCAAATGTCGATCGGAATCACATGAGAAAAGAGGAGACGTAAAATTGCAATAAGTAAAATTGTCTACAGGTTATTTGCTAAAGGTTAGGCACATTCAGAGGGTTTAATATGAAAGAAAAAAATAGAAGGGTAACATTTTGGGTCTATTTGCAGTAGCAGTCTAGCGGTTTTATGGGGTTATGCTTCTAGGTTATTACACGATCGGTCTCTCTTTAGCATCGTAAAACAAAACAGAGGGAACTTAAATCTAGGAATATCTTCTACCCCTCCCCCTCTTTCTCTCTCTCTCTCTCTCTCTCTCTCTCTCTCTCTATTTTACTCTCTCTCTCTCTCTCTCTCCCCCTCTCTCGCTATGTCTCTCTCTGTCTCTCTCTCTGTCTCCTTCTGTCATTCTTTTTTTTCTTCTCTCTTTCTCTCTATCTACGTCTTTATCCCTCGGTTAAGTGCGCCTCCCCCATATTAAGACGTGGAAAGGGTAAGGTCCTCTGTAATGGTTGGCGAATTAAAGCGACAGTAGCAAGATTCAAGACATTGAAGGTCCAGAATGGTCTCTCCATTGATGCATGGGATAATTAGTGTATGCCATGTGTGTCAACATAATTATAAACCAGACCACAAGTACATTAAAACAGCGGTAAGAGGGTGACCAAAGAGAGAGAGAGAGAGAGAAAATGAGAAAGGGGAGAGAGAAATAGACAGAATGTGAGAGATAGAGAAATAGAGAGAATGAGAGAGATAGAGAGAAAGAGAATAAGAGAGATAGATAGAGAGAGAGAAGGAGAGAGATGATGTGGAAGATTTTGTTTTGGGGTAATGGATGGTTAATGAAACAGAAGGGAAGATCGTTATTCAGACTTTGAGAGAAAGAGATAGAGAGAGACACGAATTTGACCACGTGGGTGGTTTATATGTAACTTTGAAGATAACGAGAGAGAGAGAGAGAGAGAGAGAGAGAGAGAGAGAGAGAGAGAGAGTGTGTGAGAGGGAGTGAGGGAGGAGGAGGGGGAGGGGGATTATAACTATCATATTTTTTAACAAACAAAAAAACGGAATACACTGCGGCGAAAAATCATTCAGCTCAGGTATATTTGTTTTAAAATGTTCATGTCGGATGACTTTAGATATTTTGTAAGATTTCCTAATTTATTTTTCCATTGACATCGACAAATGATTACTGTACTTTCTAACATTGCTTCCCCAAAACGGATGACTTAAAATGGAATGCTCCCTATGATCTTCCGTAAACAAAAATGAAATTCAAATGGCAAAATATCAATACTTCCTTTCGCAATATTAATCCGGAAGTACAGACAAAATAAACGAAAACTCACCATCCTTCCGTGACGTGTCAAAATGACATGACATTAGCGAAGATAAATTTGAACGCCTTTGGGGATAGAACATAAAAGCTTTTGCCCTCATGTTGCTCATCTTGTTGTTATATTTTCTCTTTTTCTATGTTATCTCTATAGGAGTATTATTGGAGGACCCATCACAAAAGGATTTGGATATAATCGAGCTGGCGTTCAACCACATAAACAGCGATGACGCTATTCTTCTAAATACAAAATTAGAACCGAGATGGGGTCGGGTACCAGCCTCTGATCCATTTTCTGCTGTAAGAACAGGTAAGTCCCGGAAACCTGAATTCTTTAAGATTACATTGCAATATACATGTATTATGTTATGATAGGAAATTATTACTACTTCTGATATTAACACTACTTAGGGTACGTTTATGCTCAACTTTTTCTAGCCAGAATGAGGCATTTGTTACGCGTTTAGCTCAAAACACGGTTGCGTCCTTTCTCATTTTTGTAGAATCACAGAAAAACGGCGATCGTAATCGCCGATCGTAAACTCACAAAAAGGTGCGTTTTGGATCGGCGATTCTGCAAAAAGACGGTTCTGGGGAAGCGAATCCAGCTGCAGAGCTAGAATCATGCCTGGAGGAGCCAGAGAAGTGAGCATAAACAGTACACCGTGGAACTGCGATTACGATGAGCGTTTACGATAAGCGTTTCAAATCGCTCATTCGGCCTTAAAAATTGAGCATAAACGTACCCTAAGAGACATAGTGCATGGTAATGATGACGATGGTGATGATGGTGATGATGGTAGTGATGACGATAATGAAATGATTATTAAACTATTTACGAACGAAAAGGTGGATTGAAGAACATAGGTGGTCAAAATGACATTTTGCTCTCTATTTAGGTCAAGTGAAATTAATTTTCTAGTTTCCCGTACGGATTATTTTTGGTTATATATCCGAAGAGGGAGGGGATTCCATTTCATTTGATATTTAATATTATTTTCTGTACATACAAACGCTATTTGGGGAAATTTCCAATATAAATTCGGATGATTAAGTTTATCAGGCACAATTTTTTAAAGAGGCTCAAAACAAGTTTAATGGCAATTTATTAAAGATATTTGAGGACACCACTGTCTACAAGTCCTCCGATTCCGAGGAGGCGGATTGGAAAATAAGAATTAATTTTTGTAAGCCTTATCTCTCTCCTTATTTCTCACCTTTTTCATGTTCATTCGCTCGCACGCACTCTCTCTCTCTCTCTCTCTCTCTCTCTCTCTCTCTCTCTCTCTTTCTCCTTCTCCTACCCCCCCCTCCCCCCTCTCTCTCTCTCTCTCTCTCTCTCCCCTCCCTCGTACTCTATATTTCTCTATTTCTTCTGCTTCTGTCATCTCCCTGACTCTATATTTTATCTCCTATGTGTCAAGAGGGCCATGTATCACATGGCATGCCCTTTGTTGTACCGTTTCTTCTCTCCTATTTTGTCAGAGCGAAATACGAAAACACACTTCTAGAAATGCCGACTGACGCCTAATTTTTCAATCTTGAATACTGTTATTGACCTGCGTCCTTGAAATGAAAACATCCGGAGAAAGAACGAGAAAATGGAGAAAGAGAGGAAGAGATAAATAAAAAAAAAAAGAGGTTGTAATTTGCCAATTTACCAGTAGGAAAGGTTAAATATGTCCTTCTACTATCGTATTAAATAGAGCAGCGTGATTTTCAAAGTCATGAATAAGCGCTTGCAATTCTCGAAAATAACAAGGATAATTGTTGAACAAACAATCTGCCATGATTTGTTTTCGCCGGTATTTAAGATAATCTTTGGGGACATGAACCACATCGAGTATCATTAGACAATAAGACAACTAAGAGACGTCACATTCAATTTGTAGCTTTATTCTGATGAGAAAAACAGGAATTATTAATGTTTTCGGATTTCCAACTAAAAACAAGAAAGCTGCGAATTTCCGAAGCCGCGACCAATCAAACACAAATTGGCAACTCCGTGACGCATCCATGCAGCATATTGCGTACGTAAACAAATGACTCAGTCATGAACATTTGTTTGTGGTTTCAACTAACACACTATTCATTAACCCTACGTTAACTGGGGGGGGGGGTCAATTTGACCCCCCTGTAGAAATTTCGCGACTACTCCGAAATCGCGGCAGATATAAAATTTTCCTTTCCTGACTTTTTACTTTTGAGTCTTACGCATCTTTTAAAACGATTTTTTTGAAAATCGGACCTACGGTTACAAGGTCACGTGACCTTTTGTCTTTGCATGTCAGCCCGAAAATCACTCATTTTCGTGATTTGTGTACAAAACATGTGTAAAAGTCATTTTCCCTAAAAATAGATAAAACATTGGTTATTCAGTCTTGTTTAAAGTTTAGATGTTTGTTTTGGGGTCAAAATAGTTGAATTGTAGTTATAAATGAAATAAAACAACAAAAACAATAAAATACATAAGTTAAAAAAACAATGAAATACATAAGAAATTATAAAAACAAGAGATAACATAAGGAATAACCTGGCTCTTCCAATTTTTTGTGTTGTATTATTATTCCAAATGGTCTAATAAATATATGTGGTGAAAAAGAATAGGTAAACATGAATAATCTATGATTTATGGGCAGAAATGTGAATTTGATGACCTTATTTGCATAAATTACCATAAATATGCAAATGAGTGAATTTTTCAAAAATTTGAAATTACCATAGTATTTTATACACTTCACTTGACATGCATGCAAATTTTCGCGGCGATCGGCGGTGAAACGGCCGAGATCTTAGGGGGGTCAAATTGACCGCCCCCCCCCCCCCCAGTAAAAACCTGGTCTGAAATAGCCCAGTTAAAATAGGGTTAAGGTTATTAGCATTTATCGCTTTAATAATTTTGGTGGAATGAAAAGAAAAAAATCTCCCACAGTCTACAGATTGAAGAAGATATGTGTATGAAAAAACGACGAAGCATTATATAATCATCACCTTCTAATTGCACAAATCTGCTTGTAAGTAAAAACAGATTTTTTGAAATATATAAGAACTATGCCTTGAATATACATTCACTATTTATTTTTTTCTTTTGTTCTACACATAGTTGGTTAAAAGGATAACTCTACGTCGTCAATCTGAAATGAATCTACGACGTTAAGTTCATCACCCGAATGCATTTTACTTTTTGTGAGGTTGGGGTCCTTTCAGGTTTTTAAAAAGGGCACACTCGGGCGACACATCAAACATGACTACTTCGATTTACAGCTAATCATGGCTAATAGAAGGCCCAATCAGAAATAATGTAACAGTAGAATTGGTAAATGGCGCGTAGCAAGGGGAAGGGAGTAATGTACGACGTGAAAGAAAGGATGGTGGGCTCATAACTTTAAAGAGGAAGGGTGAATTTCAGAAGATGCTACATAGTGTTTCTTCAGTTTAAGCTAACTTAAGACCCAATCAAAAGTGGTTTAGACCTAGGATTTGTAGGTTATTGGTGGCGGGTGCGCAGGAGAAAGGGATGGGTGTAAAAATGGAAGAGGAGGAGGAGGATGAATAAGAAATTTAAAGGGAAAAGTTGACTTTACGTTTTAGAAGATACTACATAGTGTGTCCTAAGTTACAGCTATAAGAGGAGCCTAAGTAGATGACCTATTTCGTAGCCGAATGATACGTAGATTAAAAGAAGTTTGGTTAAGGGAGTTGTTTTTTTAATGGTGGGGGGGGGGGGGGGGGGGGGTAAAGGGTGATTTTTTTGTGTATATAAATGTAACACACCGTGTCGATGTCGGTGACCCCTTTGTTAGATCCACCGCACATCGTCGTCAACGTTTCCGGCATCGCTACTTATCAACGTCAATTTGGACATCGACGGGTTCTTTTCATTTTACCCGATTCTAAAACCATTCCCATCGATTGATGTCGTTGATTAAGATGCATGCGATAGTCTACTTTGTGCAAAGAGAGATGGAGAGGGGTGTAAACAGGAGAAAGAGGGAGCGAGACCGGTCATTTGGGGTAGAAAATGGGTTTGAAGAGAGAGTAATAACAAGGAATGGGGTTAGACGGGATTGAGGTTTAGGAAAAGTGAGAGCCGACGGCAATAACCTTAAAACATGTTGTAAAATAAAATGTTTAAAAAAAGATTATGTAAAGGGTGAAGAGAGGGGCAAAAAGGTAAATCAAGATGAGAAAAGAACGGAGAAAGGGGAAGAGAGAAAGAGAGAGAGAGAGAGAAAATGAACACGTTTCCTCTCTGATCCATTTTATGCGTCCCTGTTACATCCCTATCTTTACCCCCACCCGCCCCCTTCTCTCTTTCTCCCTCCCTCTTTCTTTCTCACTCCCTCTCTCTCTCTCTCTCTCTCTCTCTCTCTCTTTCTTTCTCTCTTTATCTATCTCTCACGGCCCATTTCTGTCTCTGTCTATGTCCCTGATTCTCTGGCCTGATTCACATTCTTTATTTATATAACAGTTTGATCAACATTTTGTCATGTCTTTAATTGGCTCTATGTTAATTAGGTTAATAAGTAGGTTTTCCCCCCTAAATTTAGCAATTTGTTCTTTCAATTTAACGTTAAGAGCATTAAGAGCATTAAAAGTGATTGTCACGGCAGAATATCATCCGAATTCATTTTTTCTCGTATTAAACTTTGTTGTTATTCATGCAACAAACTTAATGAGTCGTATCAATTTAAATAAGGAGCATACAATTTTAACGAAACTCATTCGATTTCATTTTCTCTTGTTCGAATTTGTTAGCCTGGCAAAAAATTCTTCAAATAAGTTGCCTGAATTTAAATAAAATGCATGGAATTTATGGAATGGGCATTGGAAATAATTTTCCCGCGTTCTAATTCACTATTCTTGCAACAATTAACAAAAAAACAAATGAAATAAAGGATGTAAAGATCGCCAAAAATAAAAACAAACCTGTACCTATTGTCATATTGTTGTGCAATGGCCGGTTCAAATTCGACCCTCCAGTTAGTACAGTATGTACAATAGAAAAAGGACCCATAGTAAGGTTGTACACATCACAATAAAAGTGAAAAGTTTTGAAGTTTTATGTAAGGTTACAAGAACAAAAAGAAGATACTGCAAGGGCACAGCAAGCCTATATGTGTATGTATCTTAAAAACGTTCATAAACAGATTGAAAGATAGAGACACAAAACACAAACACGCACACACAAACACATACAAACATACGGAATCCATGAAACTAAATAAACGAATTGAGTACCCCAAAATGAAACTGAACGCTCAAAAAGGTTCCTCGACCTACTGTGTTAATTTGAATGCATATGAACCT